CCATACGAGCAACAGGCTAACAGTAGATAAAATTTGAACACAAATCTAACAGGGAAATAGACATTAATACTAATAGTTTCGCTGTCTGTCAAGAACGCTCTGTCTGACAAGAACGCTCTAGAGAAAACACAAGCAAAATAAAAACATGCACAGTAATTCGAAAAAACGAAATATGACGTCGACACATTTAGCGTAGAGTAGAACATAATCTCAAACCAGAGAGTGCACACAGTAATATGACGTCATTGATTATCGCGTAAACATTGAAAAAAAGGAAATTTTGTCTAATCTAAATGGTTTGCGTGAAGAGTTTCTTGCATATAATTCTTCGGGTAGGGGCGAAGCCCCACCCCCCGCGTAAGAACGTCTTACCCCCCCCCCCCCCCCCCCCTCCCCAACTCAAAAGAAATTTCCTCATCGATACTCTATAATAAAATTACCGCCTAATTAATGTGTCTAATCTAAAAAGTGGTTTTCTTGCAATTTCTTTAATGCAATTCTTCGGGTAGTGGCTAAGCGCGACACCAGTGTTTCTTTCAGACTTTTTCCTCCCCGGAGAGGGGTGGGGGTAATTAAAATTTTCGGGGGCGGGGGGTAGAATTTTCGGGGAGGGGGCGGACACTGGAAAAAGTATATAATTATATTTCGTTGAATGGGACGGTGGTGTGTGGGGTGGGTGGGGGTGGGAGGGGTGGGGGTGGGGGTGGGGGGTGGTGTGTGGGGGGGGGGGGGGTTGGTTTTAGTTTAGAGAAAAGAGACAGCACTATCAACCTAGCGCCCGGTGTATCCTTCCTCAACGGGCCATTTTTCTCGTTACAAATAATCTTCAAGTTATACAATTATGTTTTTTTTTCTTTTTTAAAATAAAATCAAAGTTAGGGAGAACTTGAGAAGTGGTGGAGGGGAGGGGGGGGGGGAAGCAGTAATAATGACCAGATTGGGAATATAAAAACTTGAAAGGCTAGTACTGCACTGATTTAACGGAACTAAAACAGATGCACGTACTACTTGTGCCGAGACCCGTCACTGGTAATGTGTGTGTGAGTAGGGGTGGGGATTGGGGGGGGGGGGGCAGCTAAAACAAAGAAAAACTCGCGCCAGACTTCACGAGAATTTTCCCGCTTCCCCGCGTGAGAAAACACTCGCCACTTCTGAGTACACAAAAACTCTGCATTTTGATTGGCTGCTCAATGGCCACAATCTTTGTGTCTTCCCCTCCATATATATATGGTTTCAGTGACACTACCATACAAGTCGCTTTAGTATACATTATTATACATGCCAAACAACCACTTTAGTTAGATGGTAAGCTAATGACGCTTACTGTTGTATACGTTTAATTTTTACTCAGGAACATGGTCTATATTCTTTACCTTTGTCTACCTTTTGAGTTGAAACAATACTTTATATCTAATCAAATGAAAACTATATCAAGTAATAAAATGTATACGTTTTGTGGTAAATGAAAACCATATCAAGTACTAAAATGTATACGTTTCTGACGTAAATAAAAACCAAACCAAGTACCAAAATTGAGCTCCCTAGACCATGATCGATTGATGATTGTGTGATTGATGATTGTGTGATTGACGACTGTGTGATTGATGATTGAACAATCTGTGCTCTTGCAGGTGTGGAGAGAACTATATCGGCCAGTACTGTGAGGAGGACAGCCCGTGTAGGAACAGTTTCTGTATGAACGACGGCAAATGTAGCGTCTATTACGTCAACGGCGAGGCCAAGGCTCAGTGCGCATGCCCAGTCGGTGAGTTCCGGTCTGCCATGTCTGGGTCTAAATTTAATTTTTTTTTTTTTAACTTTATAACACTAAGCTTTTAAATGCACTGAAAATTTAAAAAATAATAAAACAAACTGGCTTTCGTGAGTAAGTTCAAATAATTGTCACTATATTATGCAAGAGATTTCAAGGACTACCAACTATTATATTTTAATTACTAGTTCGTCATAAAGTTAGATATTCTTACGTTGTCATCAGTGAAGTATGTGTTAAGAAACTTTGAAATAAATAGTTGTATTAAATGTGTGTCAAAAATACATTACAGTATTTACATCAAACAGACATACAGACAAATAGATAGACGGATATTGTAACCTAAGTAAAGTCTAATAAAATACAAAGAGCTTTGTTTTTATTGTATATACAATAAAGTACTTGGTTATTTTCCAAGATTTTATTTTTAGCATGGTTTTAAATGGATCGTAACGGATCTTTTATCCTCCATATTAAATTGTTTCCAAATGGATCTTTTCATCCCCCAGATTAAGATGTTTTCAAATGGATCTTTTATCCCCCTGATTAAGATTTTAAAATAGATCTTTTATCCCCCAGATTAAGATGTTTTCAAATAGATCTTTTATCTCTCAGATTAAGATGATCTCAAACTGATCTTTCCCCCCCAGGTTTTGTGGGTAAGATCTGTGACCTTGTAGACCAACGAAGCGCCTGCTCAAGAAACCCGTGCCTCAACGGCGGCAAGTGTATCATCGGGAACACCCTGGACAAGTTCACGTGCAGGTGCATTGTGGGATACCGAGGTAAGTCACGTGGTACCATTGTACATTTTTCGATTGGCTCGTCCTGGTTGTGTGTTTATTGTGAGGCACTAAACGGAGATAACTCATGTTGCACTTTGACCTTTGTTTGTTTAGAGTAGTAGGGTCTTAGATAGGTATGACAGGTTAGATAACCATTACTTCTATGACAGAGCCGTATCGAAGTGGGGGAGGGGGGATTTCTTGGAATCCTTAATCTTTGTTCTTGTCTTGAAAAGTAAAGAACGTAACTTTCCTAGCCTGGCGGTCTTTAGTGCAGATGAAGTAGAGTAACTATGTTTCTGTGACCTCGACATATGAAGAGATAGTGTGATCAGCACTTGAATACCAGATCGACCTTACTTTCCCTAAACAGAGTCAGGTATTCTCAGTGGACTTGGTGGGCTCATCGACGTCCTTCTATAGACCCTAGCCCGGGATCCGAACTCCGGACTTTCGAGTTAGCAGGCATTCGCTCTACCATCCGACCTGTCTTGTCTTGAACCTAACCTTAACCCTGACCCCACGACAGACTTAACATGATGGAACATAAATTACTTAATTATCGTGTTGGAAAAACATCATCGTGACGTAATAAAAGTGACAGTGACATTATAAAAGTGACATTATAAAATTGGCGTAACAAAAGTGACGGAATAAAAATGACGCAATAAAAGTGACCTTACAATAGTGACGTAATAAACATGACATCATAAAGCTGCCGCTATGACGTCAACCTACGATGACCTAAACCCACATTATCTGTGACTCCCCAGGTGAGCTGTGCGGCCAAGAGGACCACTGCGCCTCCCAGCCGTGCCGGAACGGTGGCACCTGTTTCCCAAACGACACGGGCTTCGTCTGCGCCTGCCTGGCCGGGTACCGGGGCGTGACGTGTATGGATGACGTGGACGAGTGCTCTGAGGATCCCAGGATCTGCAAGAACCGAGGAACCTGCCGAAACAAATACGGCAGCTACGAGTGAGTTTTTGTTTCTTCTTATTGTTATGCGTCATTTTTTGTCTCCTCTTTTCCAATTCACTTTTTTTTTCGTATTATTTCAAAACACTCTTTTACTTTTATATACAGGCCTATATATATATATATATATATATATATATAATATATATATATATATATATATATATGTTTATATATATGTATATATATATAGGCCTATATATATATACGTATGTATATATATATATATATATATATATATATATATATATATATATATATATATATATATATATATATATATATATATATATATATATATATATATATATATAGGCGTGTGTGTTTGTGCTGTTAATAAATCTCCCAGCAAAAGCCCCGCCATTTGTCTGTCCTGCTGTCTGCTTCCATCACCTCACCGTGTCTGCTGGCCGTCCACACAATGTCCCCATGCATGTTCCTGCGCCATGTTAATTAATGTGTTTCAGGCTGTGCGGGTCATAGGTCACACCCAGACATGCAATGACGTCACAATATTTTTTTTGTGTAGGATCCCACGGACAGCTAGACTAAATGACCCAATTACAGCTACAACAAAATCATGAATACTCCTCCCCTCCCCCCCCCCCCACGATTATAATTTGATATTAATCAGGATCAACATAAATAATAAGTAAATACACCTTTTTATAACTTGGTATTGATCAAAAGAAGAAAATTCTAAATTCCCAAGAGACCCTATACAAGCAACACATAAACTAGTTTCATGATCGAGAAAGAAAGGTTAGCACAGTCCCTCCGAATGTTTGGGAAATCCCGAAATTGACACAGAATCTTGTGGGTAATGATACGTGAAGTATTTAATTTTATACCAGCACACTGACAGCATCGTATTTCCATTTGATGCCCCCCCCCTCCCCCACTCTGGCATTTAATATACACAGCATGTGTCATTGTCATCGTTCTTACATTGACATCGGTGTTACGTTTTTGCCTTCTGTCTTTACTGTTGTCATGTTAAGTCCACCCTGTATACTCAACCTTACTTTGATTTTCACCTTATCCGCCCTAGCACTTCTTCCCCCCCCCCCTCAATCTCCCACCACTGCCACCAACGCACCCATTCCCTGCATTACAAATCCTTGTTACTTTCTTCCCTTCCACCCTTGTTATCCGTGCACTCCTCCCATGTATCCCAAATCACTTTAATCATTGCCACCCCACTACTCCCCTCTACCCCTGCACTCCCTAATACCCTCACCCTTGCATTCCCTGCACCCCATAGTACCCTCACCCTTTACCTCTCCCACCCATGCACACCCTCATACCCTCACTTTTATACATCCCTCCACTCCCTAGTACCCTCACCCTCATATCTCCCCTCCCCTCCCCTCCCTAGTACCTTCCCCTCCCAAGTACCCTCTCCTCCACTCCCTATTACCCTCACATCTCCCCTCCCCTCCACTCCCTAGTACCTCCCCCTCCCAAGTACCCTCTCCTCCACTCCCTCACCCTCATATCTCCCCTCCACCCCTCCCCTCCCTCACCATTATACCTCCCCCGCACTCCCTCGTACCCTCACCCTCTACCTCCCCTTCACCATGCACTCCCAAGTACCCCCCTGCACTCCTCCCCTCCACCCATCCGCCTCCCACCTCGCCACAAATCTCTCATGTTTCCACTCCCCAGATGTGTGTGTGCCCAGGAGTACACGGGCCCACATTGTGAGGATGTTTACATCCCCTGCACCCCATCACCCTGTCAAAACAACGGAACCTGCAGGAAGACGGGGCCCTACAACTACGAGTGCACCTGTCCCACAGGTAGGCTGCACCATCACACACACACACGCACTCGAACATACACATACACATCAAACCCACCACCAGTGTACACAATCATCAACATATACACCAACAAACACACTCATCAAAACGCAAGTCATCCTCTCACGTATAGGCCAATTCATTAGAACACACCCATCAACATACACATAATCCAACATACGCACTTAGCCAGCACACACCCTCTCCTACACACTCCTCCCACTCATACCATAATGACGACGTGTGGATGATTCTGATACACCCCCCCCCCAACACATACACACTCATTCATACACTCACACATTTGAACCTGTTATTTGTAGCAATCGCCAATAACAACATACCTTTTATTGATAAAAATAATATCAGAAACCTTACTCTTAATCTATCGACCTTTTAGTCCTCTCTGTATTTTCTGATATTTTTGTTTTAAGGGTAGAGAATATTTTACTTAATACAATCTATCTATACATAATTTCTTTAATCATTCTTAACCTAATACTCATCTGTTCTTCTACGCCATAAATAAAGTCTAAAATACACATTATTTCTTCTTCTTCTGCTTTATTGATGAATCAAGTCGAAAATACAATATACTTACAGGGTTCGTACGCAGTCTGGAAAGTCTGGAAAAAGTCTTGAATTTCGAAAAGTGAATTTAAGACTTAAAAAAGTCTGGAAAATCGCTAGTTTTTGGGCAGGATTTTTTAAAAGTCTGGAAAAAGTCTGGAATCTAGTTTTAGAAACAAAACTTCGTAGTCCATATTTTCCAACTTAAAAAATTGCTATTTTTAAGTGAATTTACTCCAATTTTTTTCCCGCGCTACCGCGCGGGTTTACACTGTGTTGTGACGTTTTTTCGCTGGTTCGCAGAAAAAAATGCTCAATTACTACGTCATTGGGAGAAGAGGGGAAGGGAGGGAAGAGATATTTTGTGGCACGACTGACCGTGTGAATGTGTTACAAGTACTTACAATTGTCATTTAATGAAAGAATGATCGCCGTCAGAATTGTTAGGCTCTGATTTTACCCGCTATTTTTTCATCGTTTGAGGTTGCATGCAGGCAGTCATAACAAAAGTTATGGGAGAGATGTGTGAGTGGTAGTTTAGATATAATGTATCAGTCTGTAAGGCGTCATCCATTTATGAATTACAACAATTTTTCGGATTTTAGACCCCCCCCCCCTTTCCCCACTCCCTCCCCGCCCTCTGTCCACACGCGTTCACTTACTTTGGATTAATATTAGCATTTATAAGATTAATAAGTCGCAAGGCCTCCTTGGGTTCATACCTGTAATTCTGTTTGCTTCAGCTTAACCAAGAGGTACTATTTTTTATTAAGGAGTCGACCATAAATGACGTCACACTCCGGAAAGTCGGGAGGAGGGTTTTATAATAATGTTAGGGCAGATATAAATACCGTGTTTTGTTTACACGCTGTGATGGTTTTTAAAACACTAACACAGTCGTCTTAATTTTACTTTCTACTCACAAGATACAAGTTTTATGTTTGTTTTAGAATGTAATCACAAAATCTTCTGACCCCTTCCCCCCTCCATGTGTACGTCATAAATAGATGACCCCTTTAATTTTAATTCACCTTCCATTAAACTGTTTTTTGAAATCTTTGCAAATGCTGACGATTAAAGTTAGACTACCCCGCCCCTCCTTGTAACATCGGTCCTTTGTGTGAACTCACCGTGACCCCAAGTGCGTAGTTGGTACCGCTTGGTAAGTAAGGTGGGGGAGGGGGTATAAGTCACAGCACAGTTCATGTTATGACGTATTAAACAGGCATACTGAAGTCTAGACTACTATGACCTCACAGTGACCCCTTCACCGTGTCGTGTATGTGGGGGGGGGGGGGGGGGGGGGGGAAGGGGAAGAAGGATACCGGCAACTTTTTTTTATATTGCAGACCCGTTTCTCAGCTATTACTCATATTTACTGTCTATAAGCACAAACAGTGAATGATTTTTTTTTTTTTTTGCTCTACATTTTTTTTTACAAGTAACCTATATTTATTTAGGCTACTTAACAAGAGCAGACCTAAATTAATACATTACATTATTATTCTTTATAGTAATTAACTCTCACTATTATGCAATACCATTTTAATGATAGTTTAATTGAAAACATAAGCAATTAGATCAGGAACAGATTACATAAGTCTAATGTTGGAAACAAAATAGTTGCATCATTTTAATCAATTATTTTAATTGTTAAAATTTTAGGTAGGGTGGAGTAGGCAAACTTAGAAAAAATGTTTTTTTGTCAATTTGGCTAGAGAAAGTTCACTGTGAATATAGCCTAAAATAAATGTCAATTTAGTATAAGTAATTATAATGACAGTACAAATAGTGCATCATTTTAAAAAATTATTCGCTAACACATTATCTGTCTAAAGTCTGGAATTTTTCCAAAAAAGTCTGGAAAATGTCTGGAAAAAGTCTGGAATTTCATTTTCAAAAAGCAGTACGAACCCTGTACTTAAATTATTACTTTGATTGTTTCGTAACAGTCTATTATCTCCCTTTGTATTTATCGACAATAGAGTTACGCGTACTGATTTGACCTACTTTAAAATTTTAAGACAAAACAGTATAACACATGTTACATCAAGAATAAACAATGTTATATTATGATCGAACAATGTAAATTAGACTTATTTTCCTGTCTTGAGCTTTATCAATTGTTACGCTTTTATTTGGATATATTGGCTTGCGTGTATGTTATAACATTATAATACCTCCACGTTTAATAGTAACGTGTATAAATTATGCTACAAATAATAATTTGTATGTTAAGTATCCTGAGCGGCCAAAAATTCAAAATATTTTGTAGTTCGTTTATTTTTAACCTGCCCAGAAGGGGGGGGGGTGGCTTTCTACCGGCGAATCAAGGGCATAACCAGTTTCGGACTTACTCTAAGGGAAATAATTTATCTCGTCCCGTGTTAATTACGAGCTGGTGAGCGGTTATTACTGGTACGCGCGTGGGTGGATGTGCTACACACACACAACCCGGTACCCGTGAATCATTCAGACAAGGGTAGATTTACCTTTTTGCACAGTTTATTTTTTCTACTCCTGTTTTTTGCCCCTGCTACTACTTTTTTTTTGTTCTAAATTTACTACTTAGAACATATTGTCTCTGCATTATTTTCCTTTACCACATGCATTGTAGATGAAGTAAGTTTACGATTTAAAAAAAAAAAAAGAAGAAGAACCACCTACAACATTGCATTCACCACTCCCCTCCCCACACACACACAGAGTCTTCCCCTATATGCTTGAGTCTTTAAACACAAATGAAATACATGCCAAGTCCCCCCCCCTTTATCTCTAGAACATGCAAACATGTATTGCCTCCCCCCCCCCCCCACACACACACACTCTCTTACCTTGCAGCCACTTGCTACTACTATACACTGGCATGTTGTAGGGTGGGGGGTGGGGGGAGGGGGGTACTGATTGCGCATGACTCACACTCAACTCACGTAAGCTCATTCAGAATAATGCTGAAGTGCGCAAATAGCTGCCACCGTTCTTTTGTTTTTTGTTTTGTTTTTTAAATAAACAGCTGGAGTTCTAAATCCAAGTCAAGGTGTCTTCCGATATAGGTAACCTCCTTCTCCCCCCCCCCCACCACACACACATACACACTCTTCCTCAATCCGCTCCCATCCCCCACCCACCCACCCCCGTATTGGTAACTGGGTTCCTTAGGTAACTCTTGGTAATTATCGGGAGCTTGTGGTAACTCTAGTCTTAGTAATCGGGTACTTAAACTTCGGGTAACTTTAACCATGGGTAACTTACAATGGTAACTCTAGTCTTAGTAATCGGGTACTTAAACTTCGGGTAACTTTAACCATGGGTAACTTACAATGGTAACTCTAGTCTTAGTAATCGGGTACTTAAACTTCGGGTAACTTTAACCATGGGTAACTTACAATGGTAACTCAAGGGCAGTCTTGGTAAAATTTGGTATGTCTTGGTAACTTCTCTTGGTAACATCTTTTGGTAACCCTAGACAACACTGGATCATTACTGGTAACTGGTAATTAAAGGTAACGCAAGGTAAATCCTGATATCTCAAACTTACTGTGGTTACTTTAGATACCTTTTGGTAGTTCTTAGTTACCTTTGGTAGATTTAGGCGGCATAAGTAAAAGCGTATTCGAAACTTAAGGTAACTGATGATAACTAGTAATAGCTGGTAAATCGGGGTAATTCTCTGAGATACATGGTGTGGGGTGGTGTACATTTGTGGTGAGGGTAGGATGATGTATAGAAAAATGGAACTGGTGTGGCTACCAGTAATGAGTTTAACCATTCAACGTTCAATGCGTTGGAATGGGGGAAAAAAATGAACAATCATCGGTTGCTTGAAAATGAACACGGGATTACTCGTTGCGAGTGTACGTGGCTTAACACATCGATAATCCTTAGAAAGTAGTCTCAAATAAACAGAATAACACATCCATTGTCATATTGTTGGGGGGAAAAGGGGAGGGAGGGGGGGGGGGGACAAAAGCGCGATTGTGTGAACGATAATTACCTGAGGACTTCATTACCAGGCACAGCTAGGTGTGTCATGTGACCACTGACATGCGATCATAAGTCAACGGTTTTTTTGTCCGGGCTGTTTTCATAGCAAGGGGATTGGTTTACGATTGGTTGCTAAAAATGTTTTTAAAGTATGGTATACCGATGTGGTCACCGAAGTGAATAAACTAATTTCAATTAAAATATGGAAAGCCGATGTGGTCACGGTGAAGAAATTAATTTCAATGCAAATATGGAAAGCCGATTTGGTCAGCAATCGCTCTGAAGAAATAAAATTTCAATTTAATTTAAAGTATGGAAAGCCGATTTGACCAATGTAAGGAGAATCCTTTGGCCTATTTAAAAACGTAACTATAAATTATGAAAAACCGACGTGGCCAGTGTTTAAAAATTCGCAATAAAATAAGATAGATAAGCAGAAAGGG